TTATGGTCCGATTCTCGGTTCCTTTCCCGTCGTAATTACTTCGAGATCGTCTGAACTCGCTCGGCCCTCGAGCTCGCCGTCCTCTTCCGTACTCGTTTTACGTTCCTCGATTTTTCTTCTTTCCGTTCGGTATTTGGCGTCCTTTCTACGAATCTCGGACTCTTTCTCGGTACCAATGTTCTAGCCCGTTCCGTCTCGAAGAGATTGTACAGCGCGCAAGAATGAGTGCGCAGACGTTATTAACACTGGAACTACCACACCAGTCGGAACGACTGGTTCCACAGTCTCATTTTGAAGTTCTTACTTCGTGTCACTTCTTTTTTTTTGTCCGCGACGACCTTTGCAGCGATAACTAAAAGCGTAGCACAACGAATTTGATTTTTGTTTCATTTATTCGGAATTGAAATAATATTGTATCATGGCTGTGCTCGTACCAGTCGGTTCGACCGGTGCTTCTCGATGTGGATAAGTATCCTATGATCTGTTTACCGAACCCGAAATCGTTTATCAGACGTTTAGATACAGTGGCCCACGAAAGTGTTCGTACACCTTTTAAAACGCAATAACTTTTTCAAAACTGAACTATACGACTTGATTTTTCTTTTGGGTGATCTAGTCTACCAGACGATGGCTAAAAAGCTGTTTTTGCTGTTACGTGGAATGAAAAGAATAAATTAAAAATCCACGTTTTTTAACTTTCTTACCTGAACCTGTGACGAAAATTTAAAAAATGTCTGCTGTAGATCTCAGGTAACTTATATGCGTGCTGAAGATTTGACCGAAATCGGTTAATTCGGAGTTAAATGAGGCGTCGAAGGATTTCAAAAACTGCAGATTTCTTATAGTTTTCGGTCAAAATCGTGATAAAACTGCGATTTTTGCGATCTTTAATTTTGAGTTGTAACTCGTAAGAACGTGAACCGATCTCGATAAAATTTTCGACATGCATATAAGTCACCGAGATCTAAGAAAGACATTTTTTTTAAATTTTCGTTATATATTACATTATATTATATTATATTATATTATATTATATTATATAAATAAATATAATAAACAATAAATAATAATAATAAATATATTATAAATAAATAATATTATTATATCCTATTATATAAATTTTCGTTAGGCTCAGGCAAAAAAGTAATCGGTCGCCCTATCTAGCCTCTTCCGATTTTCAGATTTTCGATCATTATTGGTCAAGTGACGTGCTGAGCAAGAGACGTGATTAGGTGGAGCGGACGACCGATCCTCCAATAGAAGTGGTTTCGGGAGGTCATAGAAAAGTGGTGACTTCGGGCGTGCAGGTAAGCTGGAACGAGCGGAATACCCCGCACCCCCTTGCTTCTCTGCCGAAATGACTGACGTTTTCTGAGCACCGGACAGTAGTTATCGATGTTGTTTCACGCGGTCACTTTGTACAGGAATAGGACTGTCGGAATAGGACCTAAATACTTTTTATATAACGATATTTTACGAGCCCTAAAAATAACAGAACGATTGAAAATCTCTGGATTGTTGCAAAAAGTGAACGATATAGCAGTGGAATGCTTTGATATCGAGGATGGTGAATTGTATGAGCATGAAGAAAGAGAATTAGAAGAGAATGAAATTGTACTTCATAGTGATAATAGTGATAATAGTGATAATGAGATTATAGACAAAGAAAATGTTCGGTAGTTTTCGGAAAGTGAATTAGAAAATATTTTGAATTTACGTGAAAGAAGACGTGCTTGTGTGCTTTCAAGTTCTGAAGACGAAAGTGAAAGTATACATTATTATAGTTATTATAGTTGTCATTAATGGTACAGTAGTTGTAACATAACATGGAATTCCTTTTGTAAGATAGTAATAATTCAATAAATATAAAAGTATTCTATTACGTATTTTTTAAAGGCCAGTCATTCTGACTGGTTTTGGTAGAACTAGCTTCGTTTTAGCTGTTGGTAATTCTAGCGTTAACATTTCTCATCAGCCCGAATCCCTTGCGCGTCCACCAGTTTTAAAAATTATTCTGCGAAATCTCTCGAACAGGTCGTTGTTACAGCCGCTCCAAAATTACTTTACAATTCTGCGAGCGTATTTAAACAACGTTGAAAGGGGCCACGTGAACCTGCAATTTTGTGACTGTAGCGAACGAAGAGGGTGGCGCGGATCCAGGGGGCGAATTCAGTCAGCTGAATGATCCAAAATGATCTCGGGAGACCGTTAAAATATCGTTTAGCATAATCGAAAATTTATAAAAGCTCGGAGGGCGGGATATTTCGCGGCGATGAAAAAAATACTCGGAACGAGGGTAGGTCGAGGGCGAAGGCTCGCTCGAGGGGACCGGCAGATCAGATTTTCTCGTTCCATCGGATCCCTCTTCGATCAAGAGACGCCCTAGTTTCCGCAGGAACGACACGTCCGGATAAATGTTTAAATGTTACTTACCGTGACACGTTTGAGAATGCTTCTCGCATTTAGCGGTAGCTGTAACAATAATCGCCGGTGTTGAGTCCAGTGTGGGGGGCGGGTGGTTGTGCAAATTCGATCAAATCTAGTCACAGAATAGGCTAGAGGGGGAATCAAATCTGTCAGTCAAACCCTCTAAGATCCAGGCAGTTTTATTTAGCTCGTGGGGTCGCCGCTCCCCTTTCGTAAACTTTCAACCCTTTCGATCTTCCCATCGTTATCGATGATCGTCGTCGAATTCGATGTCTTGTTCACGTGCTGTACACAAAGCTCGGACACTTTTGTCGAAGTTGTTTCTCCTTGCCTTATTTTTATTTTTTGTTGTTGTGTGCATTTAACCTCTCAGGTAGAGAGGTTTTTACTTTATTTTTATATGTTTATTTAATGCGCTAAAAAAGTAGTTTATAGCAAATTTAGAACTAAAGAATTAATTTCCACCACTAGAATTTGTCGTAATAAGTTTGTTTTATTGTTATATATACGATAATTAATAATTACATATAACATATCAAGATTTAGTAAAATATCAAATGAACAGTGAAGAGTCGAGTAATTAATATAAATTAATAACGTTAGGAACCTGAGTTGGGCGTATTTTATTCACATAATGAATAACGAATACTATTTTATTCGAAGAATAAAATGTTATTCGGATAAAATTTTATTCGAGGAATTTATTCGAAACATTGTTCGGATACAATTTTATTAGAGGAATTTATTCGAAACGTTATTTAGATAAAATTCTATTCGAAGAATATTACTTGTATAAAAAATGTGTTCAATGAATTTATTATATATGTTATCCGAATAAAATTTTATTCGAAGAATTTATTCGATATATTATCCGAATAAAATCTTATTCAAAATGTTCGAATAAAATTTCATTCAAATAATGTATTATGTTTTAATTGCGTTTATACCGTATGCACTAAAAAACGAGACTAGATCCCGTTTACAATAAATAAATTGTTCGACAAAGACTTTAATAGAACCCCCGATGTCCATCAACGTGTGATCGAATTCCGTTCAAAGAAATACATACTATCCAAATAAGAACGTATAGGTATTTGACTGACCATCGCAAAAACAATGATACGATTTCTCTGGAAACGCAGAGAATCGGATATAAGATCGACATCCAATAAAATTCTATTATCGTAAGAAACGCCGTACGCGAGGGCCGAGAAGGCAAAAGGAAGCTTAAAAATCGCGACTGCTCGGATGCTCGTGCAAAAGACGGGAGGGTGGGGGTCGAGAGAGACGGAAGAAGGATGCCGAAGCTGGTGTCGCAGATACGCGGTGACGTGAACGAAGAACCCCACGGTAGCGTTACGTATGGCGGATATTCTGTCAAGTTTCGTTCGCGGAATCCTCGTTCGGTTCCTGCCGGTTTCGCGGGCCGCTGATAAGAAGGAAGATATAAAGGGGGCGAGATTACCAGCGAGGAGGAGGCGCGGGGAATAAAGGGGACGGGGCGGGCCGGGGAGGGTGGGGTCGGAGAGGCTCGGTTACTCGATGAAACTGAGTTTCCGACGAGAGCTTCGCGCCACTTTTCCTGCTGCTACGTGTTGCCACGAGCTACGGCAACCTCACGATTCCTTATTCATCAACGCCATCGGACAAACCCGTGAAATTTGCATCCGACACGCTCGTACATTCTTCCCCCGTTTACAAGCGCCCCGGCCGACCTCGCTTTGTTTTCATCCCCGATCGTCCGCGGGCTTTTCTTGTCGACGTCGCTGATTTTTTCAGCTCGCGTGTATTTCGTCCGAGATCGTTTCGGATTTCGGAGCTGTTACGAGCCGAGAGCTAAGGCACCTGTGCGTGGCCGAAGGGTTTGTTTTGGATTTCCTGGGATTTAGGTATGCCGTGGACTGGCCGATGCCTATTTTATCACTAGACTGCGGATCATTATCGTATTTTATTTGAGTTTGATATATTGATATTGATATTCTGATATTTTGATATATTGATATTCTATTCTATTCTACTTTAGAATAAAATAAAATAAAGTAGAATAGAATAGAATAGAATAAAATAGAATAGAATAAAATTCAATATATCAAACTCAAATAAAATACAATAATATAGATAGATATATATAGATAAAATGAAACAAGAAAATAAAATAATATAAAATAAAATATTCTATTTTATTTCATATTATTTTCTTGTTTCATTTTATCTATTTTATTTTATTGCGCGGTATGTGATGTGTCACGCCTACTGGAAAGTTCTGTCCGATATTGTTATTTCAAGTTTCAACAAATATGCACAGATACATTTGAGACGTACAGAAACCGCCCAAAACGGAAAGTCCACTGTCAGCCCCCCGGGGCCGACGCCGCGCTCAACGCGTTAAACGGAACGATGTCCAATTTTCAGATCTCAAATCCCCGAAATGTCACGGCGAGAAAATCTCCGTACGTAACGAAGCATTGCGTACACGCGAACGGCATAACTTCGACGCGAATTCGATCGCGCAAGATCGATCGGTCGACCGTGAAGTTGGCTGGATGAGATTGTTGCTAAAGAGACCGGTTAACCGCGATACCATTCGGCACGGGATAAAATTGCACCGACATGCGCTGGAGGGGAACGATGAAAATTTGAGGTAGCGGGCTGACGGTCGGTTTACCGTCGCAACAAAATCGTCGGGTGTTGTGCACGAGAATCGCGGGAGAGCTCGTCCCTCGCGCTGCTTTCCGGCCGCGATAAATTATTCCCAGGGAGGTTATACGATGCAAAGTGAATGCACGTAATCTTTCGAAATTCCGTAAGTTTGTAAGGAACGCCAACGGCGCGGTGGCGGCAACGGCAACGGCGTCGACGACGACGACGGCGACGGCGATCACGGCGCGGCGGCTGCTGCCAAAGGAAATTGCCCTTTCTCGGACCGGCGAGCTTCCCACCCCTGAAAAATTCAAAACCTCGAAACCCGGAAAACTTGCTCCGACCGATGCTCGATTCACCTGTACCCGGTCGCAGCCACAGCAGCAGACCGCCTTATTGAAAGTCTTTTGACGGTCCGCCGCCGTCGCGGCGACTAATCCTCGTCGCTTAGGGCCACGAACCTTCCAGGCTGCCTGCGATCAGCCTCGATTCAGCCCCAAAATGAAGCGTGGTAGCAAGTGCATCGCTCAAACCATCAACCTATCGAATCCCGAGACCTGCGTGCGGCCGCGGAAAATCCAGAAGCTGGTCGGCGCGGACAGCGTGCATCAGCCTTGCCCTCCGCCGTCAGGATCCTCGGCCTTTTGGACCCCTAGGCCCGTGCCCGTCAGGGTCTGCAGCAGGAAGGATATGCAGAGGACCTGTCCTCCGAAGGTAACGAGCCCTTTCACCTTTCGAAAGCGAGCAAACGAGAGGTTTCGTATTACAGTAAATTCTCCCGCATTCTCTCCGTTAGAGGTCTGCTCGCATTGTCCCTGTGCTATTTCTACGTCCATACGCGTTATTCCTACGCCTATGCAAAGATTCGTCGGAGTCGGTTGAGCGTAAGATGCGGCACGCGACGCGGCTCATTCGACTAGAATTCCCGGAATCGTAATACAATAACATAACTGTTGAGGCGGTTATTTGAAATAAAAGGGTGTAGAATGAGACACGCGTAAATAACTATATTTAAGAAAGAAGTGAAGGAGACACGGTGAACAAGCGCACAGTATTAGAGCTGTCTCTTATACACATCTTAACTGTTGAGGCGGTTATTTGAAATAAAAGGGTGTAGAATGAGACACGCGTAAATAACTATATTTAAGAAAGAAGTGAAGGAGACACGGTGAACAAGCGCACAGTATTAGAGCTGTCTCTTATACACATCTTAACTGTTGAGGCGGTTATTTGAAATAAAAGGGTGTAGAATGAGACACGCGTAAATAACTATATTTAAGAAAGAAGTGAAGGAGACACGGTGAACAAGCGCACAGTATTAGAGTACGGAAGAACCTGAGAGGCCTGGGCGACAATGCAGTCGCCTGCAGAAGCCTCCACATCCTGAAATGCAGGGTTTCCAAGACTCAAGAAATTACTTCTTACTTGAACAATAACTTTTTCAATTTTAACATTGTAAAACTGAATTTCCTTTTAGCATATTGCCGAGAGTTTTCTGATTAAAATGAGACCGACTATGATATTGTTCGGACAGATATTTCCGATTAAAATAAGAATCGAACACGGTACAATTTCGACTACATATATTATAAACTACAATAACACAAAATGATCTTAGAAATAACATAGCGTGGAGCTCGCACTAGATAACGCGTGTCCTCGCGTTCCATTCCCGATTTTGAACTGCTTTTGGGACACCATGTGTAAAAGCGAACCGCGAGACTCAAAGAATCGTGTCTGGTCTTCGCACCAAGTACGCCAATTTTTCGATTCCAGCATCAGGGACAATGTGAGAGAAATTGCTGTCGTCCTCTATCCGAATCTTTCCAGCTGAACTCCACAGTCGTTACACTCCTGCATTATTGAAAATTTGTAAAAGATCTTACCTTCGAAATAAGCCCTTCTTCCTGGTTACCGTGTTGGAGAGGCAACTTTGAAGGAACGATTTCTCGAGATCATCTTACCGACTGCTTAGCTTGGAAGTAGCTCCGTGGATTATTGCAGGGAGGGGGGGGGGAGGGGGAGTTTCTACTCGACCGAAATGGGGTATTTGCTATTAATGAGATTCCGTCCGTGTTGCGTCGATTCGTTAACAAGGGACCTACGGCGTGGTTCCCGTGTTGCCAGCACCCGTATCAACGCGGGCACGGGCTGTCTTTGCGCGATATTGACGTGCCGTGCCAAGGGGGATGACGGTGCTCCAGCACCTGTACGGAATTGGTTAGCCGATACGTAGCCGCGTTTACCTGAAATTAGCCCGACAGTCCGGCGTACACAGGTACGGCGGCGCCGATGGGTCTCTAATGGAGGAGGACAGTTTCGAGTTCCCGTACTTGTTAGGGACACGTACCTACGTGACCTCACGAGCCCAGGGCGAGGGACGCACCGCGTTTAGCTAGTTGCAACCCCCTTATCGCCCAGAAGAGACCCGGACGCCAGGGGTTTCTCGCTGTTAATCTTCTCCGCCGCGTTTTCAACCGACTATGTGATCAAGCGACGATTTTTATTAAACATCTCATTCTACGATTATTAAAATTTGGTTCAATAGTTTGCAATTATATAAACTTGATTCCACATTTTACGATTATAAAGATTTGGTTCTTCAGTTTGCAATTATGAACATTTTGTTTCCCATTTCACAATTATAATAATTTGGTTCCTTAGTTTATACATTTAGAAAAATTTGGCTTCTCGTTTTACGATTATAATTTGATTCCCCCGTTTGCAATTACAAATTTTAGTTCCTCATTTTACAATTATACAAATTTGATTAATCATTTTACAATTATACAAATTTGATTCCTCATTTTACAATTATAAAAATGTGCTTCCTTAGTCCTTACGTTTCTTGCAATTAATTTCTACAATTTTTGCATAAAAATCCACAGTCTATGCATGAATACTACAAAGCGACACGCGTTGCATCACCGTCATAAAACAATGTCAGGCTGACCCTTCGGAACTGTTCCCTTTTTATAACTCGTCCCGGCCATCGAGGCCGAGAGAAGCGAAGTCCCAAAAATCCTAAGCTCAAAAACAGCCCGGCTAGGCACGTTCGCGTCATAAAGACATTGGTGCTGTGCACTATTAACAACAATATGCGTTTAAGGGTTAAGCACGCCGAAGAATCCGCGCGAGTTTCGTCGTCGACAGATTCGAATCGAATGTTCGTGGGGCAAGCGACGAAACATTTTTCTAGTCGCCGGTGTATTCGCCGGCGAAACGGACGTGAATTCGGAATTTCGAATGGTTATACGCTAACGAACGCTGTCACCGTGACAAAGTGGTAACAACGGCACGTTGCAGTTCACGTAATAAACACAGGACCCGGATAAGCTGCCGAGGCCAGCGAATCAATCGTCCCGACAAACGGTCGTAACATTGTTAACCGTTCGAGCGCTGTGGGCACACATTGTTTCGCGCGCTTGCTTAGAGTCTTTCGCGCGGTGTTCGAGCGATTCTCGCGGACACGGGGGCGAATAATCTTCCGGAACACACGCGTTCACGGGAATTGTACGATTTCACAGCTCTGCGACTGTCCCCCGAAACCACCGCCGAAGACACTCGGACAAAAGCTTTGCGGAACATTGCTGTTTCTGCTGAAGAGCAGCGTCGCGGCCGGTCTCGTTTACTGGACCCACGCCGAGGGATTATGGGGATCCAGCGAGGAAGTGGAGGATCTCTATCACCGGATATTAGCCACCGTAGCACCGACCGTCACCGACGAGCAAGTTTGCGCCGAAGTATAAATACGTCGCACTCGTTTAAAACAATCGCAAAATAAATAGCGAACGAATCAATATTCTTGACTAAAATTACTTTTTCTTCGGATACACTTACGTCTGTACGATATTCGTCTAGAAGCTCATTTTTATCGGTTTCGTAGTTCAGTGGTTATGATTTAGTGACGAGAAAAGTTGACACTTTGGTTTGCAGATCTGTAAAATCAAGAATTAAGAAAATCTCGAAAAATCCTTCGAGATTCGTTTATGTACCCTTAAAGACTAGGGCGAATGCAAATTTCACAAAAAATCTAAAACGGTACACGAAAAGGTGTCTGATTCCGCGTGGAATGATTCTATGGAATGGCTTCGAGATAAATTAGTTTTATTCGCAAAAGCAAATAACATTTTACTCGCGAATGAACTATTCGGAAACAAGTTATTCGTGAATGAGCAATTTACAAATAAATTAATTGTGGATATATCTTTTCTGCGAATAAAAGACAATTTAAGAATAAAGTTATTCGAATCGATATTTATTCGTGAATAAAATTATTTTAATAATTATCTAGATAAAAGATTATTCGCGATTAAAATGATTCGACTTTAGCTAAAAAATTATTCGAATAATTATCTAAATAAAAGATCATTGACGAATAAAATTGAGTCGACTAATTATCTAGATATAAAATTATTCGACTAATCATCTAGATATAAAATGATTCGAATAATTATCTAAATAAAAGATCATTGACGAATAAAATTGAGTCGACTAATTATCTAGATATAAAATTATTCGACTAATCATCTAGATATAAAATGATTCGAATAATTATCTAAATAAAAGATCATTGACGAATAAAATTGAGTCGACTAATTATCTAGATATAAAATTATTCGACTAATTATCTAGATATAAAATGATTCGAATAATTATCTAAATAAAAGACCATCGACGAATAAAATTATTTGAACAATTGTCTAGATAAGAAATAATTCGTACGGCCCCGCACGTTAATTCTGAAATAAATGACTGGTTCTTTCCTCCGTTACAGGACGTCCAGACCCGAGTAGAGCTCTTCAAACAGAACCTGGTCCAAAATTACAATCGAGCAGTGTTCTCGACGATGAGGTGTGTCGCGGCCGCTTCGTCCGTGCTGCGAGAACAACTTCAAAGGGTTCTGCCCAAACAGGAGGAGAATCCCGAAGAGGCGTCGTCGGACGACAGCTAGCCCCTTTCCACCGGGCTCATGGACGAAGGGCTTCGAAAACGTATCGCGTGTCGTTTGTTGGCCCCTTTTATGGAATCCGCTTAACCCGTCTCCGTGATTTTGTAAATGCCGATGTGCTACTGTAAAGTGTCGATGTCCTGAAAGGGCTCGTTCTTTGGTGAGAAATTATAAGGGAAGAGAATTACTACAAGTAGACCGCGGATTTTATATCTACTTACGAGATAAAATACGTATAACGTAATGCAAAACTGTGAAAACGTTCGAAAAGTTTGAAAAAATACTATTAAATTAAATTATTGTTAAATTACGTGAATTATTTATTAAAATATTATTATTATTATTATTGATATTATTATTAAGCAAAGAAATGAATGTCTACGTAACTCCTGTTTCTTGTCATTAGTACGAACAGCTTTTATTTTGCATGAGAAACCGCGGTCTAGTTATCAGCAATTGCAGTCGAGTGCCGTGAAAATAGCGATCGGTGGAACCGGTATGCATTCACGGAGCGAGAAAGAGGTATTTAAGTAATTAGCTGCGAAAAGAAAATTATAAGTAATTAACTAGACTGCGGATTATGTGCATTTCCGACAAAAACGAATAAGTCAAATCGAAAACTGCGAAGGCATTTGAAAAATTTTAAGGATATTGTTGCATTATACTCGACTTGTTACGATTATCAAATAGGGAAATTTTATTTAGCTTGGATTTCTTACAGGCAATTTACGTCTTACAGGCGATAATTAAAAAATGTTCTATAAGCTTGAAACACGGTCTCGATCGTGTATATACCGGATACGCCAGAAAAAGGGTAAAACGATTAGCCGGAGAAAGGAAAGTACAAGCAATTAAAGTTGATTAAATCTGGCGTGGAAGCATCGATCGATTTAGCTGATATGGCATTCGCGAGGCAGGACGAAGCCGTTTCGCGGGAATGTTTCTCATTTTCGCGGCGCGGCAGCCCCGACGAAACACACGAACGGATTAAAATTCCGTTCAGGCAGGGTTCATTTTTTTTCTTGGCGGGCAGGCTCTCTCTCTCTCGAGGGCGCACAGGGGATTTCTCTGGCGCGGGGAGGCTTGCATCTTAAGCGATTTTTATGGCGTGTCTTGCCGCGTAACCTAGTCGAGCCGCAAATTTATTTTCCGTGGCCGGGAGATACGTTACGCTCGACAGTTTGTATTTTTTCACGTTCCGCGATTAAAGCACGGACCCGCGCCCCCGTAAATTGGATCGGGCGAGGGGGGAAGGGGGGGCCCATAAATTCGATTTCCACGGATTTAATGGAAGACGAAGTTGATGCGCAGACCGGGGCCGACCCTCCGGCTGCTTTGCATACTTCCGCCAGCACGGAACACGAACATCAAAGGTCAGTCGCGAGATATCTTCGAACCCGGCGAACAAACGTTCCCGATAATGGAAGAAACAAGCGCGGAACAGACAACAGTATGTGTGTGTGTGTGTGTGTGTTCGATCGGGAACAAAGGGGATCCCCGGATCGTTTGTCCCGCGAAAATGACATTTCAAAGGAAAAACGAAAAACTGCGCGGGTCGTCGTGTTTGCAAATCGTGTTATGTCGGTTAATTTGAAATAATAATTTATTTTCGTATCCATCGCGGAACACTATTTCGACCGTTCATTTGATCCCAGGTGTGTGCAACGCGCGTTTCAATTATAGATTTTCCAGCGTCGAGTTCGGCCTCGGTTAATTGAAATAAATATTTCTCTCGGCCCCGGTGAAATGTTTCGATATTATTTTGATCGAATCGTAATGCAGTTTGCTGCATCGCTGTACGGCCGAACGGTTCCTTAAGGCGAATTCAAGGCGAATTCAGATCTTTGGATGTGCGTCCAGGATGCGCGTCTCTGTTAATGAATTCGCGGCGATTGTGAAGGACGAACGATGAAGTGATTACATCGTTTCACTGGTTGAACACCGGTTTTCATTGTCAACGAAATCTGTGCACTGGTTGCATTCATTTCCAGTAAATAAAGTGTTAAGCCTTTGCACTCGAGTGGCACCACTCGACTCAGGGGCACCACTAAAATTTGTTACATCAATTTGTTTCAAAACATTGTTAAGCGTGTAACTGTCGCGTGAGTCCCAAGAGTCAATTTCAAATGCATAAAATGCATTTTATCGTATAAAATAAAAATACTACAAGTAAGAAAATTGATTTTATATTTAGAGCTAAAATAGCTTCGAGTGCAAAGGGTTAATACGTTCTACCAATACAATTGACATCTTACTAGTTATTTTATCTTATTATAGTTACTATGATATCTCACCTAGAACGATTTATTTAACTGTTTTAACGATTTATTAATCTCGATTCCTTCAATACTTTCTCAAGCTTTCTCTTGCAGAAAATTTCGCGAATTCAGCATCGAAAAGATCGAAATAATTATTAACAAATAAATTATTAATCGAATTGAAATAAATAACATTAATACGTCTTATTCGATAAATACGAAGCGAACTATGAGAACAATTAAAGTCAGAATAATCGAAGGCTATGCCACAGTAACTGGCTCGACTACCCGATTTCGCGAGCCTCCGTCCAAGGGAGCTGCTGCAACGTTCTCGAACACGGTGTACCCGATTAATTTTGAGGAACGCGGCAGCTCGTAGCGCGCAGGTGTCCTCTGTAAATCGCTCCATCGCGTCGCGTCGTTCGTCGGTCCGTTCGAATCCAAAATGATTGCGCCGCTCGCGAATGAAAAGTACGCGGCAATTAGACTCCTCGATAGGATCCGCGCACAATTGCGCCTCTGTCTCGGCCTCGGCCACGGCCCCCCGAACCTGCTCTCACGTGTTCAACGGCTGAATTAATGGACGAGCGAGGGCACGCTTATCAAACGGATTTTATCAATCGGAAATGCCGGTCGCTATTGGAAACGATATTCCTAGCGGCTTTGTCTCGGTGCTTCTTTTTTTACACGCCGCTCTCTTTCTCTGTCTCTCTCTTTCTCTGCCTATTTCACTCTCCCTCTCTCTCTTTCTCTCTTTTTCTCTCTCTCGTAGGGCGGGATCCTCGGTACGTTAAAGTTGATTTATTAACGTTTGATTTATTTCCCTATCGATACGAAATGCTTTTACTACGGCGCGGCGCAGCGCGCGAGCAAGATAGCGCGCGTGGCCTGCTCGATATACCGAGAGGCGATCGATTTTTCAACCCTTCGTTCCCTTCGACCGCCCTTCCTTCGCCGTTCCACCCCACCGTCGAAACCGCTACCGATCACGAGGTGTCCCTGTTCCTCGTAGATCGCCGGTTCTCTCATTTACCAGCGTAATCGCGACCATATTTTTTTTCGAAAGAGGATCTAAGGGCGCGGGCCGTGTGTCTATTAATAAGCATATCGAGCCCGTGGGATCCGGCGATAAAAAGTGATGTATACCGCTCGATTGCTTGGGCATCGCGCGTGCAGCGACCGATACGAACGGCTCGCGGACGCGAACAAATCTTCGCGGAAATATTCCCCAATGAGTAGTTCCCCGCATTTTTCCTCGAGGTTGTTAATTACGCCGTTTCCGGTTCCAGCCACCGACCCCTTTAAATCTCAAGCTGATCCGGCTGCTGGATCAAGATATTACCAATTGTCTACCTACGTTCGGGTCCTTCCTCCGGGTATCTCTCCGTGGTGACATCTGGCCATTCTTCCTTACCGTCGATCGATACGGGGGCTTCCTAATTACTAGTCGGCGAGCAACGTGGATGTTTAGGATTTATTATATTCTGGTTAAATAGAATGTAACTTGTAAAGTGCGAGCGTAAAGATCTTGTCGACTTATTAATGTAGTGTGGTAATGAAAATCTTGCCGACTTATTAATGCAACGTGATAATGAAGATCTTGTCGACTTTATTAATGCAACGTGATAATGAAGATCTTGTCGACTTATTAAAGTAATATGATAACGAATATCTCATTGGCTTTATTAATGCAATGTGTTAATGAAGGTCTTGTGGATTTATTAATACAAAAGGGTGTGTGTTAATGTAAATCTTGTCAACTTATTAATACAATGTGATAATGAAGATCTTGTGGATTTATTAATGCAATGTGATAATGAAGATTTTGTCGACTTTATTAATGCAATGCGATAATGAAGATCTAGTCGACTTATTAATACAATGTGATAACGAAGATCTTGTGGATTTATTAATGCAATGTGTGTTAATGTAAATCTTGTCGACTTATTAATCTATTAACTGCCACGATCTTAATTTGGGGATTTTGAAATTTTAAGTACACCACTTCGCGCAAAGAATATATCAGATGAGTTTGACAGTTTAATGTTATTTTATAGATATCAAATAATATTGTTTATAACAGACGGTGTGTATTTTGCGTTTCGTTTCTATGCAACAAGTGGACAAATTTGGAAATCATCTGTTAGTTGAACGCAACAAAATTATCATATTTGAAGCATGATATTTTTGGTTTGCTCTTTATATTGTAATTAAATACCATACATAAATATGTAATTTAGAGGTTACGGTGACTATGTGTTACTTACACAGTCTTTCGTTTTACATGCAATACACAAACTTTTTTCTTTCTTTATTATTCATGCAACCTGCCACAATCCCCATTTGAGATTTTTTAAAAACATAAAATATTGTAACATAAAAATATAATTTGAATATAATTGTATTGTTACACAACTATTTGTGCATATACATAACTTTTCCCCGAAAAAATTAAAAAAAAATTTGACAGTTAATGGGTTAATACAATGTGTTAATGAAGATCTTACTTTCCGACATCCTTTATCTGTAGTCCTATATTTTATAGTTTCTTCGTCTCGCGATGCCATTTAACGACTTTAATTAGAGAAATAGTATTACTATCAGTTAACGTGAGTCAATAAAATGTCGGACATCTGTGTAAAATACTTTTATCAGAAGTTTTAATAAATTGAAGATTCCGAAACCTACGAAAATGTTCAAAAATTTCACGCTGTCCGACTTGTCGTTCAATTGTACTACTTCCCCTGATATAATTTCCCACGGCTGACGTTTCACTGACTTGTATCATTTGCTAAGTTGCAGAAATTCACGAAAATTTGTCAATTTCTGCAAGTAATACATATCAACAAAATGTCAGCCGGCGAAAAATGTTCGAAGATCGACTTTTCGTTGACTCGTGCTACTTGAAAAATTAAATTTGAATTTCTATTTCTGCAAATAACACACGCTAACGATTGGTGAGACCACTGAACCACTTTTCGCCGGCTGACTTTTTATTGACTTGTACCGTTTGCAGAAATAGAAGAATTTTCAAACCTCTTCGTAATTT